GCAGAGAGCCCTCCCTCTGAATGCTGCCATTGCATCCTCACCAGCTCTTCCACCCTGGGGGCAGAAGCTGGGCTGTCTGCTCTCCTGGGTGATGGATGGACCTCACACCAGCAGGTGAGTGATGCCCAGGCAGACCAGTCGCCTTGGCATGTCGAGACCAATCTGCCAAGTGAACTGGGTCCCTCCTGGGAAAAACCATCCCATCAGCCAAAACACAGTGCCAGGGCAGCAGCAGTGGGAGGGAAGCCTAAGGGATGGCAGACAAACCTTTGCAGCTTTTTGTGCCATTCCCTGCCCTGCTGTGCACAGGAAAATAGATTTTAAGGTGAGCAAAAGGGAGGGTTTGGAACATGATGAGCACTGCGTGTGAGCAGCAAACTGCAGGCTGCGAACACCTTCTTTAGCCATGCTTTTCCCAGCTCACCCAAGCATTGGCTGCAGGCACCTCCAGCACAGAAACCAGGTGAAATGGGTCAGCCCAGGTATTTGGGTTTTATTAAAAAAAAAATTATTTCTTTATTAAAAAAAAAGAAAAAAGTAATTTGCATTAAACCAAGGTGTGCTCCTGCCACTGCCCTGGCACAGCCTGCTGCCAGGAAAAACCTCGGCTGCTGCTGGTTTGACCCACTGCAGTCTCAGAGGACATGTGGTACTTTGCTAGACTGTCCCAAACTTGGGAAAACGATTGCATTTGAGTGCAAGTGGTGGGAGAAAAGCTTTCTGCTTCAGGTGCAGGTCACCTTGTGCAGCTGAGCGCTGGGTGCCTCCAGCCTGCTTTATCCCCCTGTGAGAGCAAGAGGGCTGCCGGCAGAGCCAGCCTTTGCCAGGCCACCTCAAACACCCCCAGCCCCTGGGAAGAGGTCAGAAGGGGAGGAAGAAGGAGAGGGGATAAAAAGATGAGAATAAAGCAGGCGGCTTGGCACAGATTTGCTGGGAAAAGGGGGAGCAGGAGTGTGGAGGGCAGCCCACCACCCCCTCTGTAGCACAAGGGGCTCAGCCCATGACCGTACCATTCAACCAAAGCCTGGGAAAACACGTCCTGCGGGGCTTGACCTCTTGCCCCAGTAGGGCACAGCCCCTCGGCATTGTTGTGCTGGCAAATCCTGCCAGAGGGCTTGGGGCGCCCTTGGCTTTGCATGCTCAGGCTGTCCCTAGCCTGGCTGCCATCTCTCTCCCACCCTCCCTTGTCCTCCAAATGGGAGGAGGGGGCTGGCAGCCAGCAGCGCACGGTGGGAGAGGCAGCAAGGCAGGCGTGCAGGACGCAAAGCCGGAGCTTGGCCAGCTGCTGAGAGGTAGGGAGCCCAAACCCCCGCGGCAAACCCAAAAGCTGACCCCGAGGGGCGAGCGAGACAAGCCAGGGACATGTCACCATCCCTGGCTACAGAGCTGCAGCCACCCGGGGAAAGGGCTGCAAATGGGGTGGGGAGGAGAGATGTGGAATTTGGGGTGAGTTTGAAGTCAGGGATCCCTCCTCCCATCCCCATCACGTTGCTTTGTCTGTCCTGGTGACAGGACAGGGGAAAGTCCTGCAGATGCAGCACTGATGGTTAACAGTGAGGGTGCTGGGGTACAGTGTGGCTTTCAGCCCTTGGCTTTCGGTGCCCAGCTAGCCAGGTGCGTAAGCTGGGGGTTTGGGACCCTCCAGCATTATCTGCTCCTGCAGGAGAGGAGAAAGACTTAGTGCCTTGGGAAAAACTGGGGAGCTCCAGGAAAGCATTGCTAAGCAAGATGGGGAGGGGAAAAGAGGGCTGCTTTTCATCCAAGCTGTGTCACAGGCACAGAAGTGCCTGGAAACAGCCTTTTCTTTGCAGGAGTTTGAGAAAAAGGAGAGAGAGCTTGTGGAAAAACCTTCTGCCAAACCAACCAGCTGCGGCTGGCCAGGCAGGCAGTGCCCGGTGCTGGGCAGAATAATGCTCTCTTCTGCTCATGCACAAGAGTAATTGCTTCTTCCTTTCCACCTTCCTCAGGAGCATTCTGCTTTTTGCAATTTCTCTTCTTCCTCTCTGATCCTCAGCTACCTTGTTCCCAGTGCTGGTGGCTTTTTGCTGAAATTCTGCTAAACCCACTGTAGTTCTGTCTCAGGCAGGAGGTGGGGGGGAATCCCTTTTGTCCATGTTAATACACTGAAAACTTATCAGCCCTAAAAAAAAGTCACCGCTCATCTATACTCTGCAAAGATTTCCCAGATTTTCAGTAGTTCTATTTCTGGAAGGGCTTAGAGATCAGGTGAGGGGCAGCCTGGACCTTTCCTGAACCCCCCAGCTCTGCCAGCCAAGCTGTGCCTGCGGAGAGATGGATGGGAAGTGAGAGGAGAAGAGAGCATGGCTGGAAAAGCCTGGGAAAACATCATTGTGAGCCCTCCTGACAGGTTTCTAGGGGACACAGTCAGCTGGCTCTAAAAGAAAAACCCTACAGCCACCACCAACAGAGCAAAAAACAACTCAAAGAAATTACCCACATTTCCCAGCTCACTCTTAATGAACAATATAAGGTCATCGAGCCAATCCATGTGTGGTCAGTAAATGCCAGAATGAAGGTAGCTGTGGTAACCTTGATTCAGGCTGCCTTTGGTGTGTGTGCTCAGCTGCAGCCCCGCCCATTGCTTTCCATGCTCTGGGCAGTGGGCAGCAGCCTGCCCATGAGCAGAGTCCTTGGGATGCTGCCTGCCCATGGAGAAGGGTCCTTGGGATGGCTGTGTCTGCCAAGGGCTGATCCGATCCCAGAGCTGAAGGGGAAGGGGCTGAGCCAGGCAAGGAGAGGCTGCAGGATAAAGAAATGTTTTTGAGGTGAAGAGGGGTGAAAAGACCACTTTGGGGCAGGGGATGAGAGCTTTGGCCCCTGAGCCTGCTGGCAATATGCACAGGGATTCACCCAAGTTAAGGTGTTCCCAGATGTTGATCCATTGGCTTGTGTGTTTCCCATTTTCTGAGCTCAGACCTGGCTCTGACCCTGGAAGTGGCCACATCTCCCCAGAGCCTCTGAGCTCTGACCAGGCCAATATAGACCCTGCCCTGAGGCTGCCGGCATCACAGCTTTGGATGTTCAAGCCCAGGCAATGCCAAGTATTCCAGAAATAAATTGGAAATAAACCTGTGACCTTACTCCCTCCATGTCTCAGCTCATTTCCTGTGAGGGGATACCAACAGCAGCGCACAGGTCTCCTGCAAACACACGTATTCATACTTGCAAGCACTTGGGTCCGGAGTGGTGAGAGCTATAGAGAAAGCCCTTAAGAAATGAATAATTTCACCTCACAGCAGGTTGTGGGGATGGGCTCCACACACCACAGGGAGAGGAGATAGCAGAGCTTGCATGAGTGATCTGTCTCCACCAGGATCAGGCAGGGTCCCAGCAAACCAGAGCTGGGAGCTCAGCTGCCTAAGCACACAGAGGGTATGGCTGCGGCACAGACAACCTGAGTTCAAGGACTCCTCAATCTCTGAATGCTTGGCCTTGTGGCCCTTGGAGTGTTCAATTAAGGTTATTTCCACCTGCGTAATTCGGACGGTGAGCGATACTTGTCTGATGCAGCATCTCACTTTCCACTGGGCTCCTCTATGCCAGGGTGTCTCATAGTTTCCAATTAGTGATCAAAGACACATCACTGATGTCTTCTCTCCCCTTTTTTGAATGTTTTACCAGTGAATATCTGCCTGTTGCCTACACAAACTTGCATGGCTTTGGGATAGTGGCTGCAAGAGCAGACCCAGAGACCTTGCAGTCCCTGCAGGCCTGTCTTTTCCCTCATAAACTCTTAATTTTAAATTGTCTCAATCCAAGTCACCGAATCCCAGAATTGCCTGGATTGGAAAAGACCTTTAAGATCATCAAGTCCAATCATGAACCTCACACTGACAAGGCCCCGACTAACCCATGTCCCTCAGCACTATGTCTACATGACTCCAATCCCTCCAGGGATGGGGACTCCACCACTGCCCTGGGCAACCCCTTCCAATGCCTGAGAACCCTTTCAGGAAAGAAATCCTTCTTTATATCCAATCTAAACTGCCCTTGGTGCAACTTGAGGCCATTTTCTCTTGTCCTATCACTTGTTCCTTGGTTGAACAGACCAACAAACCTGTACTTGCCATCAGGCTGCCCAGCCATGGACCAGTCTAACAGCTCTCCATCACTCTTCTCACTCCCACCTCTCTGTAGGAAAGTCAGTGCAGGAGGGTGCATGGGAGCACAATGATGGGTGCAAACTGCTCTGGGGATGTGACTTGGAGGGGAACTGACCCAGTGGGAAAAGGAGAAGACAGTGGCCATCAGGTGTTTGGTAAGAGCTCCTACTGACGAGGCTTTGGGAAGCTGGTTTGCATCACTGTTTGCAGATCTGGCTGAGAAACCTGTGACATGTCTGAACCTGAAACCAGGTCAGCAAAACACCTAACCCAAGAGGACTTTCAGCACAAGCAGAGTGAGGGCGTTAGACTTTGCCCCTGAAAGAAAAAAAAAAAAAAAAAAAAAAAGAAAGAAGCAATGCTAATGCAATAATGCAGCTCGATGGGGAGGTAGTTCCTGGGCAGAGGCTCAACCAGTTAGTCATTTTCTTCAGGAGAGAGGGAATAATTTAAAAACTCCAAATGACAGTCAATTCAGCAAAATCACATTTCTGGGCAATAGAGAAAAATGAATTTTGGACCTTCTCTGGTGTACGGTTATGTATCAGTCCCAGAAAAGCTTCATGCAACATGTGCGTGTTCCGTACAGGTGTCATCACTGGGGCCGTGGGACTGCCTGTACCCGTGCTAGATTTTTTTGCCAGATGGTTTTGCACTTGTTCAGGGCAGTACTTTGCAGATACAAATCCCAGCTTTGTGCTTTGCCTCCTGGCAAAGCAGACAGACTCCTGTCACCCTGTGCCACAGAAAACATGTCTGGGAGGACTTTGGACATCAAAGCAAGCCAAGGTTGGATAGAGGGTGGCTTTCTGTCCAGCTTCTAGGTGGTAATTACCTGTGTTGCTACTCTGTGTTATCTTGTGCACTGCAGGGAAGATGAGCACAGGGGACGCTGCCAACATGACATCTCCTACCTCACCTCTCCTTGGGCTGCTGGTTTCAACCACTGAGCTGGTCCCACTCATTACCGCATCCCCCGAGAGGGGAGACCCACTGCCCATCATCATTGCCCTGGTCTGCATCTTCCTCCTCCTGGCAACCTTCCTCATCTTTGTAACCCTCTGCAAGCCATTGGCTCTGGACCAGTCCCACTCTGGGCCCCATGAGTGTATGCCCCATCACCCGGCAGATGCCAGCGAGCCCCAGCTGAGGCTCTGGAAGCGGCTTGGTTCCCTGCGCCGCTCCATCAACACTTTCAGAAGGAGTTGGCTGGTGTCCCCGAGCCAGCTCGCCTGCCCCAGGAACCTCCCAGCCAGCCAGGACTGGGATATCATGGAGTGCACCAAAATGTGATTCTGCTCTGCGGGAACTAACTCACCCCACACCACTATTCTTTCCTAAGCTTTTGGTTCAGGCTCAGTTCCCACCTCAAGCAGCCCCTGGTATCCTGGGCATCCTGGCAGAGCCCTTTTAAGCAGCCCATTTCCAGGCAGGCAACAGGAGATTTTGCTATTTCAGGTTCCCAAATGCTTTCCACATTACTGTTTCCTGGCAGGAAAGGCAGAGCCATCCAAACTACATCCATATGCAGCTATCACCAGGCAGTCTAAAAAAAATACTGCTGCTTAATTTCTTTTGGAAAACATTGTGCAAGTTGCAAGGCACCTGGACAAACAGCCTGGGCAAGAGCAGAACAACTTGGCTGCCTTGAAGAGAGATATTCTGGAGCAAACATGCTCCACAGAAAGCAATCCTCAGCTGAGACTGCCCCCCAGAGATGTGCTCCTGAGCAGGTGGAGGAAGCCTCAAGCCCCTCTCCTGCTTCCTGGTCTCTGTCCCCTTGCAATATGCCATGGGTTGATGAGCTTGATGCTTGGAAGGATGCATGCTACAGCTGTCTGCTGGAAACCTGCTTCCATAAACAAGTGGTGGGAGTAGGTAAACACGCCTGTAAATGCATTAAAGAGGCCTTTTGAGGCTTGCAGTCACTGCCAGCTTGGAAAGGCACCGTGCTGAGCTGAGCGGCATATTTCTGCTGGGAAAGGGGGCAACAGCCAGCAGGTAAGCTAACGTGCTTAAAGGAATCAGTAGGAAAAAGAAAAAGTGGTTTAATTCTTCCAGGTCTGCAGCTCACACTACATTCAGCTATCAAGTTCATCCCTTTGGGTGAAGACTCTGTACCTGTCAAGGAGCCGTGGTGAGCACCGAACCCCATCTCTGGGGTTTCTGACATAGTTTCTGACCCTCTGCATCAGGTCCTGGGACATTCCCCCTCTCCTCCGGCCCCACGCTGCCTGGCTTTTGCAGAAGCAGACGGGGAAACCTTTATAAACAATCTTGTTGCCACAGGAACATGGGGATGTATTTGAAGGAGGAGACATTCCATACAATGGTTCACACTAAAGGTGTAAATTAAACTGAACCCCGCTGATTGCCCATTTCCACTTCTCTCTGATTTTCTTCTATGGAAAACCAACTTCCCCCAAAACATGCCTCTCCTTTGCCACAGACTGCCGAGGGCATCCCCCTCTTTTGGGAAACATGCTCTGAGAAAAGGGATTTGGATGTCAGACTTAGGTTTCCTCCATTCCCAGTCTTTCAATTTGTGAAAACAGCTCAGTTTTGGGAGTCCCACAGCAAGGCTCCTCTCCACCCATGCAGCTCCCTGCACACTCCATTCCCAGCTAGAATGCCAGGGAGATGCCTGACCCCAGAGACAGGCATGGTGCTACGGGCACCACATACACCGTGTCACGGCACAACAGGTGACCAAGAGCCACAGGGTTCGTGCTTGGGGACCGGCCACCCCGAGCACAACACATGGCTCCCAGCAAACGTTGGTTGCAAGAGGCAAAAGGCTCTTTTCTTCTCTCCCGGTGACTCACTCTGCACACAAGAGCCAGGGACAAAGCTGCCCCTTTCCCTGAATGCCTGGAGTGGTGTTAAAGGCAGGAGGAGCCTTCCCAGGGCCCTCTGCAAAGAGCCTTTGGTGCCCGCTCTAGAAGAGCCCTGGGTTGGAAGGGATGCTGGAAGCCCTCGGAGGCTGAGTGAATGCCTGCATTCATTCTGTGCTCACTGAGCCATTCAGCTCTGCCCACCGCTCCCTCAAAGAGGAACAGAAATGAAAGCAAAGCCCAAACGCTTTTTCCCTCCTTTTCTCCCTGCTCTCAGAGCATGCACTCTTCTCCCCCCACCTTCAGATCTCCATTCTCAGTCCCTTCTCCGCTGGGAGGAGGGAGAAAGTGATGCAGCCAGGAAAAGGGCCCTCACCCACACAGGGCTTGGGTTTGCTCCTCTCACCCCTTGCAGAAATGGGCTGAATTCCCTCTTGTTCTCCTGTGCTTTGCTGTCTTCTCCCCAGTGCTCACGGCTCGGGTCAGCAAAGGAGCAGGGGAGCATACAAGCAAGAACACATCTTGCACTGGCCTGGAGGAACAGACCACTGACAAGGAGAGAAAATGTCCTCCCTGGGCTTCCAGCAGCTCAGAGCGGCAGTGCCAGGGCCCAGAGTAGGGGACCCCCTTTGCCCACCCAGGGACCTGGTGAGAGCCAGCCTCCTGCCTGCACTATGCTGCTGGCGGCCGGGATGTCCTCGGGGACGCTGACTTCGTAACTGCTCTGAAGGAAGATGGGTCGGTTGTCATTGATGTCCAGGACGGTGACGTACACGGTGGCAGTCCCAGTGCGCCGGTTCCCGGTGGGGCCGTTGTCTGTACGGGAGAGAAAGGTGAGGGGAGTTTCAGTCACCTCCATCTCCTTCTTGCACAAGTAGTGCTCAGCCCTCAGCTGCTGAAAATAACAGGACTAAAATTTCTAAACAAAAATGTTCCATCCTTTCTGGGGGCCAGGGATTTGGGGGGTGAAGGTGGGCAGGGGTCTGCACTGCAGCACCTCTGGGGCCAGTCTGCACCTCGGCTGCTGCAGGGGGGTGGTGAGGGTCCAGTTGGCCCTGACAAAAAGCAAAAGCCTTGGTGAGTTTTCTGTAGACTCAGCTCAGCCCACAGCCAAAAAGCCCCAGGATGTGTTGATGTTCAGTAGATAAGGACATGGCAGCACAGCTCTTGCTATTGCCACAAAGAATGAGGGAATGGGGAGTACAAACTGGGGTTGTTTTCTCCAACGTCTGATGCAAGTGAGCACTAAATCCACCCAAACAGAGCCTGCGGGATCTGGTGACCGGGAAAACAAAGGCAGTCTGATACCCATCCGAGGGGCAGAATGGGCCCTTTGGCACTTGGGATCCAGTGCTGCGTGTCCAGTGGTACAGCATCCCTGCTGCAGAACCCATGGCACCTGCAATGCTGTGCCCTCGAGATTTCTGACCAGGCCACTTATTTCTCCTTTAAAAAGGGACATCCAAGTCTCCTGTAAACAGGCACATCATTATGAAGCTCTAGAGATGGTGGCCAAGATGTGTTTGGCATGCAGGCCCTCTGCCCATGCCAGGTGGCTCTGGATTAATCATCAGCCACTAAGCCAAGGGCTGGCATGGCATTAGAGGAACGATGCTATGGCACTGGCATTTCTGGGTGGAGGTCTTCCCTGGACAGCACGGAGCCTCTCCAGAACAGGGGCTCTTGCCTTCCCTGAGGTAAAGGGAAAGCCTTGCGGCTGGATGAGCCTGAGGGGTGAATTTACTGTCTGCAAAAGCCATGGTGGAACTGGGATATATTAATGCACATGGGTTGTGAAATGCTAAAACCAAACACAGGCTCTGGTTTATTAGAGCACCTCAAAGGTTGCTGTCTCTCTGCTGTGTTTCCAAGGCAGCTCGACACATGCACAGCCACCCCATGTGGCAGCAGTCCCGTGGGAACGGTGGGAAATCCTTACCGATGGCCTCCAGGATCAGTGTGTACGATGCCACGGTCTCCCTGTCCAGACTCACAACTGTCCTGACCACCCCATCCCTGAAGCCGACACTGAATTTGCCATCCTGATTCCCACCTGCAGCAAAGGACAAGGACCAGGTTACCCATTGTCTGGATGCAGGGAGCAAAGCCCACGCTCCAAGGGACGCTGCAGACCAGGCACAGGGTCAGCCTGGCCGTGGAAATCACAAGTGCTCAGCCTGCTCTCCTGAATGGCTGCATTCCACACGCTGTGAGCAAGGCAAGCTTTGTAGGATGAGCCTGTTTCTTGTTCCAGACAGAGCTTCTCTGCAGCAAAAGCGGGCAGAGTGCCTTCTCTCTGCCACACCACACGCCCTGCCTGCCTCGCAGCACAGTAAAGGAGCAATGGTGGTAGGAAAAGCTGAATCATATGAGAGCCAGATCATTTCCTGAACACTTCGGAAGCGAACTGGGGTAACTTTGCATGTGGCCTGAGGTACCTGTGGGACAACACACACCTTTTCTTTTGCGGGGGAGGCCAGAGAGGCTGGGAGATAAAGCACAAAGCTGCTATCGTGAGAAAAATAACTCTCTGGTGACACACACTATTTTTGCCCATTTTCTGAGGGCTAAGTGCTGCACGTGCACTTTGCAAGTCAAAGCATGGCCAGGGGGTTCCCCAGCCTCCCACTGCACATGCTGCAGCTGCAGTGTGAGCCAGGCACTGCCCAGGCAGCATCGCTGCCCACCTGACTCCTCCCGGCCCACCCACACCCAC